TTGTTGATGACGTATCATTTTAATGATTATTGATTGGATGAAATTTCTGGGATTGATTCACTTATTAATGGAATATTCACATTTTTCTGTATTTTCTTGCTAAGAATATTATAATTAGGTGCACCTGGATTAAAGAAAAAAAGTCCATAAGTCAAGAACTCATTTTTAAGAGCTTGAAAGAAGAATTTTAAGACTCCAAAGTTAATTTAATAACTTGTGGAAACATTGACATTTGAAAGTTAAGCACTCCATTTTCTGTACGCCATTTTCTCAATGTTCGATTGTACGCAACTTTGAAAGGACGAAAAAAGGCCACATCCAAAGGCTGTATGATGTGTGTCGAATTTAGACACGGAGCTGTCAACTCAATTTAATTTTCCTATTTAACTTTATACGTTTTTTTCTGCTAACGGTTGAACGACGTTGTTGAAATACAAAAAAAAAATTTTTTCTCAAATTTTGTGGTTTTCTTATTTAAATTGTAAGCTTTTTCGAACGAATTTGCTTGTTTTTTTTTTTTTTTTTCATATAAGTCAAATGAGATGAAATTAGATGAATAAATTTTTTTTAGGAAAAAATCAAAAATTTGTCCAACAAATTTGTATAACAATTCGAAACACTATTACTTATTGTTATACCTTTTAAATTAATTTGAGCAGTTAAAATATATAAATTTAATACTGGTAGAACTATGAAACTATGGACTGACTATCTTTTATAGATGACAAAAATTTTTAGTCACGAAACGTGCAAGACACTAGCTCAAACATGCACTTTTAAAAATTTACTAATAAAAACTATGAACATATAAAAGAGTGGCATTACCACATCATCATACAGATAGGTTGAACTTACATTTTAGGCTACTTACACTTTATAAATATGCCGGAGAAGTATGGTATGGACCCGTCCAATAACTAAAAATTCAAGTCTTTAGATTTTTTCTTGAAATCTACGATATTTCGGAAATTTGTCAAGAAAGCTTTTCCATTCAGCAAAGTCCAAATAATACAAAAAAATTTTTCCCTGGTAGAAATGTTAATTCTGTTTATTTGTTTATAACAATTGTTTATAACAATAATGTCAGTCTTTTACAACATTCTACCCTAAAAATTTGGATTTAGGAGATCAAAATATATTGAAAAAATTGTGATATTTGGCTTCGAAACCCTCCTGGCACTCGAAGTAATACGCGGAATATAGTTTGCCAACCTAGATACGCTAAAATAACAAGTTAAAACCATTTATGCACCTACAAAGACCATTTAATAGTCACTAGGTGAGATGAGAAACAGATACTAACGCGAAAACTGTCGTAGCATATGCCAATCGCTTCAAATTACGGAAGTGAAGCGACTTAAAGACGATATCGTAGTTTCAGCAGCGCAGTTAGCTTCCCAATCGACAGGGTGCAATCAAATGTTTCAGAAACGGACTCAAACAACTAATTATGGCAAAACTCTCTGTAAAAGATAACGTAACAATGAAAGATGTTGTTAAACAGGCAATTTAAATAGAAAAGGCTATACAAACCCAAAAGGGCCTGGATAATACCTCCTCGTATGTCATTGAGACGAGTTACTGACGTAAAGGCTCTGGCTGGAAGACTCCAGGTACTACTCCAAAGATAGTGGCGTTCAGAACGCCCGTTTTTTTGTACAAATCAATAATTTTAACTATTCAGGATAAAATTCGACGCAAGTCGCTAGTCTATTAGAAAATAGAGTCGTCAGTAGCTGGGTTACCCAGCTGTATGACTGACAACTTCGTTCTTGATGTAGTATGTAGTATCACTACCGTTCCAATTTTTAAACTTAATAAGTAAGGTGAAACATTCTAACAAATGTTATTTGAACATTGTGATTAGATACTTATGAAAACATGACTACACAACTTACAAACGTATTTATTGGTTTCTCAATCTACACTAAGTGAATATTCTCCCTGTCAGTTTATTTGTGATTTTGAAATAAAATTTTAAGTATCAAGCTGCTTAACGGAATAAAACAAACAAAGAATCAATATTGAGTTGGTTATATGAGAAGACTCCTAGTAACATAATCACAATATACTTTAGATAACTTAAATTAAACAAAATTGTTGTAGCAACAGTAGAGTGAGCAAAAAATACAACAAACTCCCATAGACGAATAAAAAATCGAGAAATGATTCGTACCTTTAATTGTCAATAAATGGTTAAGGTGAAAGCTACAAATGTGAATGTAAGCGTGTACTCGCTTTTTGGTACTAAAAAAACTTCATGAATCTGATGTTTGTAACTCAGCATGACAGACAAAAGAAAGACCGATTCCTGGACGAATGGTCAATAGATCTTTTTTTCGAATAATGAGGCGATATTACCCGGAAATCGCCGAGGCTGACCGAGTAGCGCCTTTGTAACTAAAACTAACACTATGATTAGTCACAGATTTTCTTATAAGTAAATGATTATTTACGCAATGTTTCTTTATATCTTTCGTAGATGTACGAAAAAAAGTATAATTTAAGAGAACGTAGCTTAATAATGATAATTGGAAATATCCACACTCAAGATTACAGAAACGTAGCAACAAAATGTACAATTAATACATGTAAGCATTTATTTGTATGTATGAATGTATACATATGTAGTGAAAATTTCAGATAGTTAAAATAACTGACAGTCAAAAATAGTTACTCGAATAAAAAAAACTCATGTGTACTGATAGCAAATAAATGAGTCAAAAAAGCAAATTAAAGCAAAAAAGTAAATACTTAAGTCAACATTAGGTTGGTCAGCAACACAAGCTGGAAAATAATAGCTTGATAGTATTGTTTATAAATTATTGTACAATTATTTTAGTATAGCTATTTACATATGCCTTCCAATATTCGTTGACGCCTGTAGTATATCCTGAATTGCTTCCCACAATCATCCTACAAAATAAGAGAAAATATATTCTTCACTATTACTTTAAAAGTAAAAAAAATCACAGTCACTCGTCATCTAATCTTTTCTATTCTTTCATTGTCTACACTATATCTACCATATCTCTATTATTGCCTTACGTCTGCTTTAGTTTGATAAACAAAGCCATGACTATCTTATTTGTAACGATAAACAATACCATCACTTTTTAGACATCCTTTTTGCTTTCTTCCTAACAAGTTTCTATATTTTAATTTTTTTATTTAAAAAAGATATAATAAGGCATAACGAAGAAGTTGTTACATTAAACACAAATCAACAAAATTTATCATTTTTTAATACATCACATTTTTTTTCATATGGTTCTTTTAATAAAAAAACAAAAAATATATCACAATTAGGAGTGAACAGATATGAAAATTTGATTTTTTTAAATTATCGAATCAATTAAAGGATGAATTGAACACATAAATCATTTTTTCAATTTCATCGTGAATACGAAAAGTAAAAAACAAAAACAATATGAAAAGTAAATAGTTGAAATAAATTCGTTGTAAGGCAGCATTTTTTATTGAAATTTTTCAGCGTCATAACTTATTGCATTTTAAATTTTTCGACCTTCAAGAAAAATATGTCATAGCTTCCACAATTCACAAAGTACGTGAGTTATTTTTTATCAAAGGTGTAAAATGCTAAGCATGCAAAATAGAAAGTTTTATTTCTGAATACACCTATGAAATCATTAACTTATTGAAGTTTCGGTGAGCTAATAGGGCCACATGTAAATGTATTCAGGTGTTTGTTACGTACCAAATTTTATTTTTGTCACATACTCCTTTCAATCTCTTCGTTATACCCAAAAATCAAAATCTGTACTATTAAACTCCAAAAATTTTCCAATTAATGTATGCTACAAAGCATAAAATGATTTGCCGCTCAAATAGCACGGGATTTTAATTTTGTAACTTTGTTTCATTCTTTTTACCACTTGCAATACGTTTCTAAATTTTTTAAACATCAAAGTTTGAAACATATTGCTTACATTCAATACACATTTTTTTCAGATCAAAAGGACGGTTGAAAAAATTCAATGTAGGTCTCCCAAGCCTTCAAAGGAGACGAAATCGAAAAAATTTTTTTAACATTATTGTTTTAGGCTAAAAAATAATGTGTAACAAGTTCAAAGAGTAAATACAAAATTTTTATAGTTTTAAGATCTTTAAAAAAATATTATAAGTAGTAAAAAAATTAAATAAAGATAAAAAATTAAAATCCCATGCTATTTAAACAGCAAATTATTTTGTATTTGGTGGCACAAGTAAGGTGGAAAATTTTTTAAGTTTCATGGTACGGATTTCCATTTTGGGATATAATCAAAAGGGTTAAGGGGGTAAATGACACAAAAATAAAATTTAGTAAATTACGGACACCGTAATACAAATAGCATATTTTAGTAAATCATATTTAAAGTTGATAAGCTTATATGTACTATTGCATTTATATCACTTTATAGTAAATATGTATGTATATAAAGTTATGTGATACCTTTCAATAAAAAGTAAGCTATGTAACAAGCTTCAACATTTCAGTATTTCTGCAAGATACGGAGAAATAGAGAAGCAAGAAAATTACTAAAAGTTTTTCAAAAAAATAAATATAAAACAAACAAAGATCATCCATTAAAAATACAATATTCTCAATTCTATTGAAATACTAGAAAAATGAAAAAATTGAACGTCATAATGCTTAACAGCTGAGTAATTGTTTTTTTCCACTTTGGGAATTTTTTTTCCTTTGGAATGTTTACTGCATCTGCAGTAGGAGAAACAGTGTTTAAACTTGCTCCACTAATGTGATAATTAATATCTAGAGTCAACACAAGAAGTCCCTCAGGACTAAGTAGTGCTTGCCCTGGTAACTTGCACTACCAGGTACGGAAACTACTATTACGTTTGCAATGACACAAGGGAGTTACTGACAGATTTTCGTACCTTATATAAGCAGTAAAATAAGATATAGATATGCATAAAACAACTCATGTACCTTAAATAATTAAATAAGTAATAAGTCTGACAATGATTAACATACTTACAGATTCAAACAAAGCACCATTTAAACCTATATTGCCACTAGGAGTAAGTCCTAACCCTCCTACTAAGCCAGCACACATATCAGAAAGGATATCACCATATAAGTTTGGCATCACAAGGACATCATATTGACTTGGATCTTGTACCATATTAAGACAAACTGTATCTAAATATCTCTCTTCAAATTTAACACTTGGAAATTTTTGTGCTGCGTCTCGACAACATCGTAAAAATAAGCCGTCTGACATTCGCATAATGTTTGCTTTATGAACAGCTGTCACCTGAAAAAAAATTAATAAATTGGTATTGCTACTTAAAAGTGTGTCGAACTATGAAAATTACAGAGAAACAATATAATTTATTGTATAAATTTTAAAACTGCCGTAATTTACTACTGGTTTTACAAACAAATATTTTGATTTTTGTTTGTGACAATTGTCTTCAGGTCTTAAATTAAATTTTATATTCTACCAAGTTATTGAATTCTAAATTTTTCAAGTCACTCGATCCTTTAACAACTAAATTCATTTGGTTGTTAGCGTATGAGGTTAAATTGAGGTTAGATTTTTTGAGTGACTTAGGATCAGGAAAAGACAGAAAAAAGTACAAACTTAGAAGTGCCAAACGTATACAAAAATGGACTAAAAATCACTAACATATGTTAAGAAATCAAAGTTAAGTAATATACATAACAAGTTTTAATAACAAAAAGTCAAAATTTTTGATAAATAAAAAAACAAGCACGAAAACGTTGAACGTAATCTATTTTAATGCCCTTCAAAAAATTATGATGATGTGGAACAGGTGATTCATTGTAATTTCGTAATTTTGTAATTTTCTAATCATATGTATTAGTATGTATAATCTCTATAAGTATGTGTACAATTTGTTAAACCTGATGACGCTAGCACAAATAACCAGCAAAACGTCGCTACAATAGAATCCAAAGAGAAAAGCGAGATACACTGGTGTGTTCATTTTCTTACCCTCGTGCCTAACAAATCACCGATTCTACTTGATTAAAATTCAAAACTAATCTTACAAAATAAAGAACAAACATAAAAATTTATTTATGGATCAAAAACACTGGAGGATAAAATTATGGATAACGATTTTTGGATAAAAAAATAAGTAGTGTAAGTATTAATAACTCATTCTAAATTAAAAAAAAAAAAAAAAAGAAAGATGTTTACAACAATTAGGTTAAAGATACATGAAACTTAAATACTATAATTACTAAGTCAGAGAGAAAAAAGCTAACACCAATATTACAAACAGCTACCTTAATAATTAGAATATGGATTTTTTAAGGATCCAAACGGAGGGAGAAACGTGTCACAGATTTGAAAAGAGCTTAATGAAATGCTAACAGAGAAATGAAGAAGCCGGTCTATTTCTTCTTAGCCATAGTTACTCATATTTAAAATATCTTATTAAATTGGTGTTAGAAGCCGAACAGTAAAAAGCAAAGAAGTCAAAACGTAGGTATTAAGATAAAGTCAAGATAAATAAACCAAAATTAAGGAATGTTAAAGTGGAAAATAAATGCAAATACAACCTAAATTAAGTTGAAACACAACCATTAAATTTTGCTTCAAGTAAGAAGCAAACCAATTTTTTCTTACTCCCACTGACAATCACTGCTTTTTTATTTTCTGAAGGATATAATCTTACACTTTCACTTTTTTTCAATCAAAAAACAATGATATTAGCCATGTCATTATGTTAACGGTCGTTAAGTATTTCTTTATTATTTTAATTTTGTTTATACTTTTTAAAATTTAACATATATTTATTTTTGATTGTAAAATGAAAGAATGATTGTTTCTCATGACATATCCCGATAAATTAAAGTTATGAATATGATAAAAATAATACAATCATGCCATTTAATTTGGAGAATTTAATTCTCATTATTATTCAGTTTAAAACAATAAAGTTAAAAAAATTTTGATTTTTTGAAATCTTCCAATGTTGTCTCCTTCGAAGGTTTCAGAGACCTAAATCAATCTATTTAAACGAAGTCTATGTGGGCGGAAAAAATATGTATGAAGTTTGAGCAATAGGTAAAAAAGGATGATGGATAAGAAATTAAAACAAATTTCAAGTGGTAACAAAATTAAAGAAATTAAAAAATTAGAATCCCATGCCATTTAAATCTTTATATAAATACTTTTTGACAAAAGTAAAGGTAAGATAAGTTTGATGTGTTAAATTAATATTTTTAAAGAATTTCTTAATCCCTCTGAAGCGGCAATAAACAGTATCCTTAATGAATAGTCACTCTTGCAAAGTTCTAAAATCAAAATATATAACCGTCATAAAATAATTGTTGGCCCCAAAAAGCCGTTAATTGGCGCTTTTTCACTCTATAACAAATAGAAAGGGCTATTTGTTAGAACTGTGAAGATTTAAAACTGACAAAAAAATATAATTGAAAATTTTCCAATCTCAAACTTTTTTACCAGGGCAACAAAGTCCTCGAGATTAATATCTCCTCTGTTTATAAATTGGTTATAACCAATTTAAAATTTATATTTTCCTACATATTTTGAAATCTGGGAGATGTCATTACTGTCAGTGTTATAATAGAAAGCTGATCTCTCACCTAATGGATTCTTTATGTGTCAATTTTGACGCTGGTGTTTTAACCCATGTAAATTTTAAATTTAAATATATTTAAAGCATAATTTATACATTTAAAGCATTAAACGTTTTCCTTCCAATTCACCCTCTTGCGACTTTAGACATGGTTAAAACTTTTTAAGCCTTGAAGGCCGTTTTTTGTCAACTTTGTTGAGTTGTAAAATATTTGTTCACGAAGTAGTTCTACGTTCAATGGCCCTAAAAAGGACCAGTAAGCTGAGCTCTTTTTTGGCTGAAGTTTCCAGAAAACGTAACTGCCTAGATACCTTTGGGTGATCTTCTCTGGCTTGCTCTTGTAGCCTCAGACTGATCGAAAGAAAAACTATAACGTCGGAAGCATTAGATCTAGTTATAGAGCTCCTTCTCAAAGTCTCCTAATGTTACGCCAGAGACTTTGGTAATCTTGCATGGGGAGATTGCTTCATGATGCTTGCCTGTTGGAGACTGTCCCATTAGCTCAAGTTTATTTTTCTTTTATTGTTTTACTGTTACGTTCACCCAGCACAGACTTTACAGAGGATCAATTATTTCTAGTTGAATGCTTAGAGATGAGAGGTTAATGCAGGGTTATTGGTAGTCAGGGTATCCAGCCTTTTTTGAAAAACTTCGCTCGTATTGTAAAATGTGCGTACTTATGGTGGCCCTGAAAAAGGCCAGCGGTGATACTTTTAGTAATTCCTTATTATTATTCTTGATAATGAAGAGCTGGTTGCGGGTAGCTTGACTTTTACATTCGAAGTCTTTGCGTATGGAGACCGTGCTGGAGGGAGGTACAACGGTGGCCGAAGAATATCTTGTCTTCTTGTCTTTTTCCAGATAACCAACCGCTCACCGTTGGTCGGGAAAGTAGGTCTGAAGAATATCACTCCAAGGGTATGCTGTTGGGATGAATTACTAAGGAGGAGGCTAATTAAATTTCCGATGTGATAAGTATGTGGCTGTCCGATTTCCTCAGGATTGTTTTCCATGACTTGCTGTTGTAGCGAAATCTACTCCAGTAGCACTAAGTCGATTGCTGGAATACCCAGCTAAACCACTCATAACTCTATTCTTGATGCACTGCCGGTGAATGACTATGATATTCAGCAATTAACTTGGAGATATTATAACCAGACCCACTCACTACTTCTACGCCATATTTTGAATCCTACTGAACTACAGCAAAAAGCCAGCGTATTTTTGCAAGACTTTGAACTTATTTATTTCTATTGTTATTAATTTTTTCCAGAAGAAAACTATACGAAAACCATTTACGAAGTGTTTTTGCGAATTTCCTTACTATATTGGTAAGATATTGGATACATCAAACTTACTTTACTTTTTATTGATTCAACAGGTATTTTTTGGGGTATCATAACTTCTTAGGAGAAAAAACTTTTTTGTTATTTATTTGAAATAAGTTAGTTAAATTGAATGCCATTTATATTAGGAAGTGCTAGACATTAATAACGTATATACAAGGTGGTAGCAACAGTGTAAAATAAAAGTTAATGATTTGGTAAAAGTTTATCATTTACTAAATTTATAAAAAAGCTGCTTATATAGAGTAATTCACAATATTTGTGTAATGTCGAGGAGCAGTGCACCGTATTTATTTCGAATGTAATCAGCTCGTTAAACATTTATGGATCTCAACACACACAGGTATTAATAAATAATGATAACACACGTGCATCGCACCGTTCAGTTGCAGCCACAAACAAACTAACTAAACAGCAGCATATTGCGCAATCTAATTACCATTTACAAACAAGTTGTACCCGACTAGTTAATATCTTGTACCCTGGAAACGGTGCACTCAGTACACTGGCAGTAAGACACAATAGTGAAATAATGATAATGATGAAAATAATAATAATAATAATAATAATTACAATAATGATAATAATAATAATAATATTAATAATGAGGATCATAACGATCATGACAATGATGACAATGAGGAAGATAATGATGTTGAAATTGATGATAAAAATGATGATGATGATGATGATGATGATGATGATAANATAATAATAATAATAAAAAGGAGGATGGTTTTCTGGACGACTGAGAGGAGGTGATGCAAGTGTGGATCTGGTGCCATCGGGGAGGCATGGTGTTGTGTTTTTGCTGCGGTGCCCGGGGGATTCAGGGGGAGTGGTAGAGGGGGCCTTGGGGGTGGGGCTGCTGAGGCGTGGCCGCAGGGCGGTTGGTGTGCGGAATGGGGGCCTGCGTGGGTGCTTGAGCGCGCGCAGACTCCCTAAAACCGCTTCACTCTATCACCTTCCTACCGATAAGTGGCTGCGGTATGGCGACCCATGCTTTCGGGTGCTTCGCTTCCGCTGATTTTTTTTTTTTTTTTCTCCTGGCTGGGCTTCTGGGATGTGGTCGCAGGGTGGTCGGTGTGTGGTATGGGGGCTTGCGTGGGCGCTTGAATGCGGGCAGGCTCCTGAGAACCGCTTCGCTATATCACCGTCCTACCAATGAGTGGCTGTACCTCGGTGGCCCAGGTCTTTGCCCATCGGGCTCTGCGGTGGGTGCGCTCCTTGCGCCTTTGTTGGGGATGGCCGGGTTTGGGCTCGCACTGAGAAGCATCTGCTTATTATTTTGCTCCATCCTTCCAAGTAAACAGAAAAGAGCAGCTCGAACGCAT